CAGGGAGTACAGGTTGTTTAGTAACAAATTGTTTCATCTCATTTTCATTTGGGTTTGTCTTAGGTGATCTGGAAGTCTGGTTTTGTGATTTGTTTACATGTCTTCTGATTTTAACAGATACAGCCTACTGCGCCTTTGTTGAGGTAACTTTTTGCCCACTCAATGGTCTTCAATTCTCAGCAAGATATGAAATGGCCTTTTCTCTGTTGCTTGCCACTGCACCAATTCCTGGGTTTAGAATGGTGGCCTTCTGGATTCCTGAGCTGACATGTTGACTGGCTTCTGGCTGGGGCCTGTGCACTCTTGGAATATTATCAAGGTGTGCCTCTTGCTGGGGCCTCTATGTACCTGTTGTCTGGAAAGGCCTTTGGCTGGGGGCTGTGCACCCCATTTCTTGTTGTTTGAGCAGGCTTTTGGCTAGTGTCTTAAGGAACTTATCAATGGTATTGGGGTGAACCTCTGAGTGTTGTTTGTGTGAATGTGTAGCTCTTTTCTAGGTAGGCCTTTAGCTATGGCCTGTGTACCCAAGCCACTGGGGTTGAGGTAGGGCCCTAGCTGGGATCTGCCTGTAGCCATGCCACTCTATTCCACAGAGCTGCTCCCTGGGATCTGTGCTCACTTACTGCTGATCTACATTATAATTTTAATTAAGGGCAGAAATTTGGTCTCTTTTAGCTTTAACATCCCTCAGACAGGAATCACTTACATGTAGTTTCCATTTTAAGCTCTTGCTGAATGTCTGTAAAGTGGAAGGATGTATGTATAGACTTGGTTTATGGAGACTGTTCTTCTCAGTCCTAATCACTAGAATCTGTTCTCTGAAACTTCTTTGTTCTGTAAAATTTTAGTAACATCCAGAGTCAGTGTAGGTTTTTTAAAAATAACATGAGATAAGGATAAGATTTTAAGAATAGATTTTAAGTCCTTTGCATGTCCTTTGTGCTATAATTCCAAATTGCCTAATCTTAGACATACAGATTAATCTTTCTAAAACTCAATATCTATATCTATTAAAGGGGGATATTTGCCTTCCCTCTCCCTTACAATGATGTGTAAGATACAAATAAAGTAATGAATTAGGTACTATCAAATCAAATAAAGTGATTTACATGATGAATTTCTTAAGTATTAAACTCATAAATGAATCTTCAGAGGTTTAAACTTTTGTTGTTTGTTGGCAAGTAACTAGGTCAAACTTTACATTTTAAATAAGTGTATCTTGATCAATAGTCAGTGTCATATACATGTGGTATTGGGGATTGACCCACAGGTCCTTGAATATTCTAGACAGATGCTATACCACTTACAACACCAGGCTATGATTATATTTTATGGTATATCTATTCAGTAATATTAATATATACAACATTTGGATTTTTGCTGTAATCGCAATTCATTACATTCTAGTAGAAAGTATTATAATATTTTTATAACTGGGAAGAAGATACAAGTCAAGAATAATTATGATGAAAAAGTCTCCATTTTTTTGTCTGTATATGTGCTGTGGAAATCCTGAGGATATACATGGAGCATATTATGCATGCACATCTCTGAGTTAGGAGTGAAGTAGATTTAGGAATAAAATAGAACCTTTCTGGTAACATTACATTTTAATAATTTAAGTTCACTTTCAGAGGACTAGTTCAAATTCAAAATTCTACCATTAAGAAACTTTTAGCTGGGTGGAGGTATTTTTTCATTTATTAATGGGTGGAAATGTCTAAATGAAACAGAATTACAATTGAAACTAAGATATACAAAACAAATTATTGTCACTCATCTTTGTCCAGTACTGGTGAATGCAATTAGCCAAGTTGGTGTGGTTGATCTACTAGTCATCCTTGTTTCATCACTTCATGAATGTTCTTCCTGAAGCTTTATGGTTAGAAAAACAGATCAATTTTCCCAGATAGAAAAATGTAGTATGATTGTGGACCCTAAAGACTACCAGATTTCTTCTGCCCCAGAACAAAAGATTTCCTCCACTACAGAACAAATTTTTCCACTCCTCCTGGCACTATTCCTCCCTTGTCCAAGGTCCTCTATAAAATTTCCTCTTGCCCAAGACACCAGGGTCAACAGCTTTGTCACTCTTGACTAGCCTTCACTGAGGCTGGAAATAAAACCTCACTTGTTGCTTCATTTTTACCTGTTCTGGTTATCTTGGTCATGCCTCATTTACCCTAATACTGTCAATCCTATACCAAAGTCCTTTTTTTTTTTCCTTGCCCCAATCAGTATAATTGTGCATTCAAGTCAAATATACAAAAAGGAATGCTCACTTGCATGTTTCCATATATGATTTCTAGAAAGCATGCACTGAAGGTACTGATAAACCTGTGCTGTGCCCTACAGTGCAGAAATAATTTCTTAATTCTTATGCCTTCATTTGTATCTCATTGGCATTTGCTCTTCTCATTTTAAAAAAAGAAAATAAAATAATTGAAGATTTTCCTATTCGGGGGAGCCTTTTCTAATTATCCCCATTAAGTCTAGTCCTCAGCAATTCTCTTTCTAGTTCCTGAGTATGTCTTTTGCATTCTTTTTTCCACAGATGCTCCTGTTCTTTCCTATGTTACTCTTTGATATTGGAAGATTTTTTTTTTTTTTGCCAATTTGTAGTTTCATCTAATTTAAGGAAAGTATCCTTATGGAAAAGACCTGACACTGTATTTGTTCTATTTCTGGGGCTAAAGTCTGCATCCTTTATTTATTTATTTATTTATTTATTTATTTATTTATTTATTTATTTATTTGAGACAGGGTCTCACTCTGTAGATGGGACTGACCTAGAGATCACTATGTATCCCAGGCTGGTCTAGAACTCACAGGGATCCTCTTGCCTCAGCTTCATGAGTACTGGGATTACAGGCATGCACCACCATGCCCAGCTGCATCTTTTTACTTTCACCTTACTTATGAGTAACTTTGTGCTATGAACCAAATATGTACCCACAATTCATATATTGATGCTCTAGCCCCAATTGTGATGATATTTGGAAATTTGACCTTTGACAGATAATTAGGTACTGTAGATGGGACTGACCTAGAGATCACTATGTATCCCAGGCTGGTCTAGAACTCACAGGGATCCTCTTGCCTCAGCTTCATGAGTACTGGGATTACAGGCATGCACCACCATGCCCAGCTGCATCTTTTTACTTTCACCTTACTTATGAGTAACTTTGTGCTATGAACCAAATATGTACCCACAATTCATATATTGATGCTCTAGCCCCAATTGTGATGATATTTGGAAATTTGACCTTTGACAGATAATTAGGTTTAGATGAGGTTATGAGAATGAGGTCTTTATCAGAGAGCTTGATCTGTTTCTCAGCCATGGAAGGACATGGTTAAAAAAAGGCTACCTACCATCTGCATGCTTAAAAAATAAAAATAAAAATGCTGTCACTAGAACTATACCATACAAGCACTCTGATCTCGGATTTTCAGTCTCCAGAACTGTGAGAAAATATATTTCTGTTGGCTAAGCTGTCCAGTCTACAGTACTTTGTTATACTAGGTGTAGACTAATTCAGCATACTTGAGTAATGACCTCCCTCTCTAGTGCCTGATTCTTTAAAGTATTAAGTAGTTTTGTATAATTTTTAAATTCGAGTTTTAAAGAAATCATTAAAAGGCATGGGAAAATTTTATTTAATTGAAAAATTAATTTGATAATTTGACACTAACAGGTTTAATAATATAGATACCATTATTAAATATACTTTAAATTAATTTATAGTAATTTGATATATCAAGTCATCTTTTAAGATAGTGTAACAATTTTTATGACTTACATTTCTTTCATTTATTTTCCTATCAGTTTCACTCGTTGTGAACTTTTCTACCAGTTAAGTTTTTCTTCAAAATTCTATTTTCAATATTTAGCAAATACTGATTACAAAATCTTATGATTATTTCAAGTATTACTTATCAGTTTATAAATATTTATTATGATAAAATTTAAAGTTAATTTGACTAATATTCCCAATAAAATATTGTATTTGGAAACAAAAAGAGCTTATTTAAAAATTGCAATGCTTGGTTTGGCTTTAATGTTGCTTTAATTACTAATATTTTTGAAGTTTGTTACTATTTTCAAATAAATATAGCTCCCTTAAATGAATATCATTTTAAGAATAGGTAGTTTAAAAATGGCAGGCAAGGCCAAGCATAGTATTACATGTCTATAATCCCAGCATTAGGGAGGCTGAGGCAGGAGGATCACTGTGAGTTCAATACCAGCCTAAGATATAGTGAGTTCCAGGTTAGTTTCAACTACACAGTGAGAGCCTGTCTCAACCCCCGCCAAATGGCCAGCAATTTTATACACCAGATTGAACAACAGTGGCCTATTTGTAATATAAAATAATCACTTTATCATATAATTGTTTTGTGTTTATTTATTTATTTATTTTTTGGTACCGGGGATTGAACTCAGGTCCTTGCACTTGCGAGGCAGGCCACTGAACTGCTGAGCTAAATCCCCAGCCCTGAGAATTTTTATTCTTAAAGTTAATGAATATTTATGATATTGCCTTGAAATAATTAAAATAAACAATTTTCTACTCCTTGATTTAAAAAACACTTATAAAGAATTATATCTGATTTTGCCTAGTGTCATGACTTTAGCATTAATAATGCTATTAAATTCATAATTGCTTACTCAAATTTTACTATATTCTCATATTCATTTGATACTTTCTATTTTTTAACATCATTTTCTTTTTGGTGTACAGTAAACCTTTGGTTTGTAAGTAACTTGTCCTACAAGTATTCTGTAAGAGAAGCAAATATTTCTAATACATTTAACTTGATGAATGGGTGATATCTCACAATGTGAGTAGTATGTGCCACAAATGTCACCTGATCACAACTGAGCCAATGGTTCTTGCCTCTTTTCCTCTCTGTCTCTCTCTCTCTCTGTCTCTCTCTGTCTCTCTCTGTCTCTCTGTCTGTCTCTCTCTCTCTCTCTCTCTTTTCCCTTGCTGCAGGATTGTGGTGGATGTATAACATCAAGAGGATGTGGAGGAGATCTCTTCTGCAGACAACGAGAAGAAAAAGGCAAAGGAATGCCTCGCTCCAAAGACAATTGAAGAGATGCGTAAAATGTGGAAAGCAGTGCAAAATTTTGTAGAAAAGCACCACTTGAATAAAGCTGTATTAGTGAGAGCAATGAATCTCTTTAATGAAAATGAAATGTCACACTTCCACAAAATCCTCAAAAGGAGCCAAAATCAAGCATCATTGGATAGGTTTCTTGTTAAAAAAGGAAAAAGATGCTATTGAGCCAATGGATACTGGTGATTCCTTAGTGATAGTAAAAGTCTTCCTACACAATGACCTTCCTCTCACTTCTATCCCTCACACCAGCCATGAAGGTTTTCAAAGATATGTGCAGGTTAATTTGTGTTTTTTTACTTTATATTTTGTATTTTCTTTAATATTTTATGTTATACTACAGTAGTATCATCACTTAATATTAATGTTTTTAATTTATGGAAGAAATCATCATCTGAGTTACCATTATTATTTATGGAGAAATTTGCTTTGTCACAAAAGTGCTTTGGATGATAGTCATGTTTCTGGAACAAATTATACTCACCAACTAAGTTTGCACTATATATCATCAGTCTCATAATTTCTGCTTTTAAACCTACTTGAAGCATTTTTATTAAATGTATTTAGAAATGTATTTAATTAGAGGTATATAATCCCATTTTTTTCTATTTGAACTTTTTTTTTAAAATATTTCTCTGTGCTTTCTTTTCTATTTTTTGAAATTATTTATTAAAAGATTTAAATAGTTTAGGAACAATTATTTTACTGGTTATTATATATTCATAAAATACTTTTATATCATAAATACCCATGTTTCCTGTATCTGTTAGAAAAGATTCACCACCTTTTCTCCTTTCTTTCTCAAGTTTAATCACCACTTTTAAAATGTATATTCATATCTGTAAAATATAATTATATCATAATTATGTAATTTGTTGTTAAGACAGCAATTTCACCCAATTTCAAACTTGGCCCAATTTTTCACATCCTCTTGAATCTACTTTCCTTAACATATGTCTGCACAGTTCCCTTGAGGCCTTGCCTGTTTCCCTGCCCTTTCATATCTGACTTTATTCTGTCATATATGTGAGCCTAATTAATAAGCTCTGTAAGAATTTCAAGAAACATTAAGAACAACTTACAGAATTTGAAAAAAATAAAATCATTAAATACCAGGCCCATTTCAGACCAAGTAATATTATTTTTCATTAATAAATAAGTTGCTCACAACAACATGAGGACAAACAGAGCAAATCAACTAGGCAAGGAAAGAAATTAAGGGAAGAGGGGGAAAATTAAAAAGAGTCAACAACAGGATAGTAACATGGAAATGATAAGTCAGTACATATCAGTTATAACCATCAATGTCAATGGCCTCAATTCACCAGTCAAAAGAAATAGACTAGCAGAATGGATTAATAAGCAAAATCCAACAATATGTTGTATACAAGAAACAGACCTACTTCAAAAAGAAACTCATCAACTGAAAGTAAAAGGATGGAAAACAGTTCTCCATGTGACAGGAGCCCAGAAAAAAGCAGGGGTAGCTATCTTACTCGCAGACAAAGTCAATTGCAAACCCAAACTGATCAAGAGACAAAGAAGGTCACTGCATCCTTGTAAAGAGAATAATCCAAGAGGAAGAGATAACAATTATAAATTTTAAGTACCAAATATTAATTCCTCCAATTATATAAAACAAATATTAAGAGACATGAAAAAACAAATAAGCACTAATACAATTGTAGTGGGGGACCTAAATATCTCACTATCATAAACAGACAGATCATCTAGACAAAAAAATCAACGTAGAAATAATAGAAATGAACCAAGTTCTTGAACAAATGGACTTAATAGACATCTATAGAGTGTTCACCCCCACAAAATACGAATAGACATTATTTTCAGCTGAACATGGGTTATTCTCCAAAAGGGGCTATATACTACCTCATAGAACAGGTTTAAAAAATGCAAAGAAATCAAAAGTATCCATGTATATTATCAGACCATAGTGCAATTAAATTGGAGACCAATAGCATAAGAAAATGTAAGAACTTCACACATGGAAATTAAACAACATTCTCCTGAACAATCAATGGGTCACAGGGGAAATTAAAGAATAAATTAGTTTTTACAAATAAATGATAATGCCAATACAACGTACAGGAATCTATGCAACACAATGAAAACAGTTTTATGTGGGAAAGTAATAGCAGTGAATGCTCACACTAGGAAAACAGAGTGAACTCAAATAAACAACCTGATGATGAATGTTAGGCTCCTAGAAAAAGAAGTGCAAGAAAAACCTACAACTCTTACAGGGGAGGAAATTATGAAGAGCAGATCATATCAAGCAATGGAAACTAAGAGAATGATACCAAAAAAAAAAATCAATAAACTGAAGAGTTGGTTTTTCAAAAGAATAAATAAAATCAATAAACCCTTAGCCAACCTTGCCAAAAAGGAAAGAAAAGGCTCAGATCTATCCAACTAGGAACAAAAAGGTGAAGTTACAACAGATACAGCACAAATCCAGAGGATCATCAATACCTACTTTGAAAACCTATACTCTAATAAAATGGAAGACACAGAAGAAATGGACCAATTTTGTGATATTTATAAATTACCAAAGTTAAATGAAGAAATTTAAAAAAACTTCTAAACACCCCAATTATAATCAGTGAAATTAAAAATGTAATTACAAGAATAACAATGAAGAAAAGCCCAGGTCCTGATGTATTCACTGCTGAATTTTATAAAACATTTAGAGAAGAACTATTGCCACTACTCTTCAAAGTTTTCAATGAAATTGAAAGGGAAGAATACTTTCAAATTCATTTCTGGAAGTAAGTGTTACTTTGATTCCAAAACCAGGGAAAGACCCGACCAAAAAAGAGAACTACAGGCCAATCCCCTTAATGAACATAGACGAAAAAATTCTCAATAAGATAGTGGCAAAAAGAATACAGAAGATCATCAACAAGATCATACACCCTGACCAAGTCGGATTTATTCCAGGGATGCAAGGATGGTTCAACATATGTAAATCAATAAATGTAATACATTATATTAACAGAGTCAAGAACAAAAACCATATGATCATCTCAATAGATGCAGAAAAGGCATTTGACAAAATTTAATACCTATTAATGTTAAAAAACCTGCAAAAAATTGGAATAGGTGGTCTTTATCTCAAGTTGACAAAGGCTATCTACAAAAATCCAAAAGCCAACATCATACTAAGTGGCCAAAACCTAAAACCACTTTAAAATCAGGAACAAAACAAGGATGCCCACTATCACCACTCATGTTCAATATAGCTCTGGAAACATTAGTTACAGCAAATAGACAAGAGAAATAGAGCCATAAAGATAGGAAAGGAAGAAGTTCAACTGTCATTATTTGCTGATGATATGATACTCTACATTGCAGACCCAAAAATTCTGCCAAAAGGCTTGTAGACTTAATTGACACTTTCAGCAGAGTAGCTGGATACAAAGTCAACACTCAAAAGTCCATAGCGTTCATGTACACAAATAACAGACTCACTGAGAGAGAGACAGTAAGGGGAAAAAATGAGAACAAGACCTGTCATTTAAAAGTACAAAACCGCAATGATGAATGTAACTGTACTGTATGCTTAAAAAGTACCAATAAACTCATTAAAAAAATAAATTGCTGCATTCTCTAACCATTCTCAGTTCACTAGAAGTTATATACCAAATCTGTAGAAATAAAAGGGAATAAAATATATATTCCTTTTCCTTCAAAACAATTTTAATCTCTTAAGAAAAACCAGCAACATAAACATAACATGGAATTGGGAAAGAAAAATGTATTCATTCTTCAGCTTCCCTGATATTCTCATTATGTTCCTAATCACCTTAGATAATTAGTGTTTTTTATCAACTGTACCTGATAAGGGATCACACTTGAGACTGAAAAAGTGTTAAACAATCTGCCCATATCACACAGTTATTACATTGTAAAATGAGGATTTAAATGTAGGGTGTCTATTTAAATTCAATAGTTCACTCAGGCTTTTTAAATTGATTAGATGGTGTCCACCTCCATTATAGAGGACAATTTCTTTATTCAAAGTTCACTGCTTTTAGTGTTAATCTTGTTCAAGAAAATCTTTACAGAAACACCTAGAATATTGTTTTACTTCATTCTTGGGCACCTTATTTTAGCCAAATTGGCACAAAATTCACAATATTCTTGATTTCTACTATACCATTCTCTTTTGGTCATATAATAGTTGATGATATGAGAGGTTGAAAAATGAAAAAGTCATTATAGGTTGAAGTATTTAGTGAAAGCAGTTCATCTTTGCATTGCTCTAGCTCACAATTACCAAATGGAAGGACAAGAACTCACATTCCATCGGTCTGACAGCCAAATTCGTTCTCTTGCCCACAGGACGTATGGTGCATGTCACTTCAGTCAGTTTGCTCGTGCACTTAACAGACCCAAAAATTCTGCCAAAAGGCTTGTAGACTTAATTGACACTTTCAGCAGAGTAGCTGGATACAAAGTCAACACTCAAAAGTCCATAGCGTTCATGTACACAAATAACAGACTCACTGAGAGAGAGACAGTAAGGGGAAAAAATGAGAACAAGACCTGTCATTTAAAAGTACAAAACCGCAATGATGAATGTAACTGTACTGTATGCTTAAAAAGTACCAATAAACTCATTAAAAAAATAAATTGCTGCATTCTCTAACCATTCTCAGTTCACTAGAAGTTATATACCAAATCTGTAGAAATAAAAGGGAATAAAATATATATTCCTTTTCCTTCAAAACAATTTTAATCTCTTAAGAAAAACCAGCAACATAAACATAACATGGAATTGGGAAAGAAAAATGTATTCATTCTTCAGCTTCCCTGATATTCTCATTATGTTCCTAATCACCTTAGATAATTAGTGTTTTTTATCAACTGTACCTGATAAGGGATCACACTTGAGACTGAAAAAGTGTTAAACAATCTGCCCATATCACACAGTTATTACA